ATATACCAACTCTGGGAGAAAATCAGGCCAACGTTTTTTCTGTTCAGGTTCTAGGGTACGCAGCAAATCATGCATGCTGCGGTTGAACCGCTCGCACTGTCCGTTTCCTTTCGGATTAAATGTGGTTGTTCTAGATTTGTTGATCCCGTAGTGGCTGCACAGTTGGTTAATTACTTCTGACTCGAAAGCCCTTCCTTGGTCAGAGTGTAATTGTCTTGGTATGCCATATTTGATGAACCAATGTTCTATTAAGACCTTTGCCACTGTTTTGGCAGTCTGATCTCGTGTGGGCACCGCCACAGTCCATTTGGTGAATACATCAGTCATTACCAACACATGTTCCGTCCCATCCGATGATTGCTCCAACGACGTAAAATCCATAGCCACAATCTCTAGTGGTTTTGTCGCTAGTAGGTGTCCTGATGGCTGTCTCATTTTGACAACTGGCATTTTCGCATGCTGACACCTCACACAAGCCTCACAATGGCGTTTGACCTCCATTTCCATATTGGGCCAGTAACACCTCCGTCGTAAAATTTTGTGCGTCCTGTCCTGACCCTGGTGTCCTGCCCTGTCATGTGCCAACCTTAGCACTTCTTCTCGTAATTGTCCAGGCACCACCACCTGGTGTATTGTCCCATCAATTTGGTCATGAATTCTCCGCATGAGAACACCATCCTGTATACTGAGACGGTCCCACTGACTCAGTATTTTCTTTGTTTCTCGACCAAATTGTTCTCTTTCCCTTCTTCCTGGGAATTTTTGTTCCTGGACGTGTTTCAACAGCGGCTGTAAGCCACTATCCGTTCTCTGGGCATTTCTTATCTCTTTGTGATTAAGGCAACTAAAATCACCAATGTCCCTATGTCCGGGCTCTGTGGAAATGTGCTCCACCCCGGTCTGTCCGTTCTGCCTCACTTGCACCCCGTGAGGGATATCTGTTGACGCTCTGACCTCACATATTCCTGTCAGCGTTTCTTCCTCATCGCCCGGTCTCTCGTAAGGATTCCTTGATAAGGCGTCCGCATTGCCATTGGACCGCCCCGGGCGATATTTTATCTCTAGGTCAAAGAGTGCCAATTCTGCTGCCCATCGCTGTTCGATGGATCCCAACTTTGCTGTCTTTAGGTGACTCAAGGGGTTATTGTCAGTGTATACCACACATTTAGCACCTAATAAATAGTCCCTGAATTTTTCCGTCACAGCCCATTTTAATGTCAAAAGTTCTAGTTTCATGGCGCTGTAATTTGTCATGTTCTTCTCTGATTCCTTCAGAGCTCGACTGGCATAAGCAATAACCCTGAAGCCTTGCTTTTGTTGTTGTGATAGCACAGCTCCCAGACCTTTAGAGCTGGCGTCAATTTCTAGCCGAAATGGTTTGTCAAAGTCTGCATATCCTAATATCGGCGCCTCTGTCAAAGCCTTTTTCAATAGCTTAAACGAGTTCAGGCATTCCTCAGTCCATAATTCACCTATCAGTTGTGTTTTGCCTTTCTTTTTCTCCTTACTGTGTTTCTTTGTCATTTTGTTTACCAAGTCATGCAATGGTGCGGCAATTTTTGCAAAACCAGGTACAAATTTTCTATAATAGGAAGCAAAACCCAAGAATGACCTGACCTCTACCGTAGTTGTTGGTTGTTTCCATTCTTTAACAGCTGCAATTTTATCTGGGTCAGTGGCGATGCCATCCGACGAAATCACATAACCCAAAAAATGTACCGATTTCAGACCAAAGCAGCATTTGTCTGGGTTCAGCTTTACTCCTATCTCCCTAAGACGGAGAAACACTTGTTCTAATCTTTCTAGATGGTCCTCCCAAGTTTTTGAGTAAACCAGTATATCATCCAAGTACACCAACATTATTTGAAATAGAAAGTCACTCATAGCACTCTGCATTACTCGCTGGAATGTAGCAGGTGCATTAGTTAGACCAAACGGCATACGGGTCCACTCGTACAGTCCCAGTGGAGAAATAAATGCAGTTTTATGTTGATCGTTGGGGTGCATGGCCACTTGGTGGTAGCCACTGGCCAAATCCAAGGTAGAAAAAAATCTTGCTCCCCCCAACGCATCAAGACATTCATCAATACGAGGCAAGGGGAATGCATCCCTTCTTGTGATATTGTTCAATTTCCGGTAATCACAACACAGTCTTATCTCCCCTGACTTCTTTTTTACCACTACTATCGGTGCCGCATACGGGCTTGTACTGGTTGTAATAATTCCCTTTTTTAGTAGATCATTCAGGTGTGCTTTCACCGCCGAGTAGTGACTTGGCGGTAATCTTCGGTAGGGTTGCGCCACCGGCTTGTCTTGTAGTAAGGGTATCTGGTGTTTGATTACTTCCGTGTACCCCAAATCACCCTCATACGAGGCAAATATATCACTGTATTTATTCAGCAATTCATTTAGTTTTGGGTCCTCAGTTTCCGGGAATGTATATGATCGGCCATCCTCTTTCTTCACCTCGGCCGTCACATTGACCGACCTAATTGTTACTTCATTACTGCTGGTATTGCTCAGTTCGATGCACTGTGCCGACCTTAGTACCTCGACGTTCTGTGGTACTCCTACCAGAGTATTAGGCGGTATAAAAATTTCCTCATCCAAAACATTAGCTACCAACCCTTGAACTAGTCCGTTTTCCGCTGATGTGTATGTCCGCAGTAACACGACGCCTGCCCTCAGTGCGGCGCCACATGGTTCTATCATCACATCACCATTCACGCTTCTATCACCAATTTGTAATGTGATTGCCTTGACCGTGTTTGCCGGGACTGCTGTCCTTCCTCTGGTCTTGGCAAACCTGGCCAACTTGGATCCCCGACCTGGTGTGGTCGATCCGACAATATTTGTAAGAAATTCCGGCAACTGGCCAAGAATATTCATGCCCAACAGGCAAGGTATATTTGACACATTTGTCTCTAGGTTGTGTTTCGTAACGAACACCCCAACCTGCTTCAACCTATGTCCTGCCACCACGACATCCGCCAGAAAATACACAGTATGGAATGGTTAGTCCATTAGCTGCCGTCAGGCGCATGCACGTGTCAGACCTTAACCTATGGTCTTTTCCTTTCATCCATTTGGTGTAAAAATTTTCCGTAATTGTCGTCACTTGGGAGCCTGTATCCACAATTGCCTTCACCGCAATGTCCCCAATCGTAATCACCATTTCGGGACAGACTCCCATCATTTTGTTTCTTGGGCCATTACCTCGCCCCTCTGTAGCCTGACCCTGCCTTACAGAGGACGACCGTTTCCCTGGCAGTACCGTGCCATGTGTCCGGGTTGTGAACAGGACAAGCAAATTGGTCGACCGTCGGCCGTCCATTGGAGTGATGGCTTGGCAGGACGCGGCCGTCCAACCCGTCTCTGTTTTGTCCCGTTCTTTTCCTGATTCTCAGCTGTTGACCTGCTTTCTAACCTCTCCAAACGTTGGTCAACCTTATCTAGGTGGGCCAACAGTTGAGCCATCATGGTCTCCATCGTGTCGGCCCCTGTGGGTGGGGATTGTCTCTGTTCAGGCACAGAGACTTTGTCCACCGAACAGTTCGATTGGTCCTCATCCTCGGACCTGCGGATCGCTGAGTTCCTGACCTGTAGGAAGGTCAACTGCGGGTCTTTGTGGACCTCCTCTTTCAACTCTCTTCTTAGGATCGGGGTTGCTAGCCCCTCGATGAAATGGTCCCTCAGTAGGCGCACATCAATGTCAGGTGTTTTGACCTTTACCGAATCAAAGGCCCCGTTCATCCGGTGTGAGTACTCCATCACACTCTCCGCCATTCTCTGCCTTAAGCCTACGAACCCTGCCAGCAGTTGCGATCCCGACCGTCTCTCCCCAAAGGTCTCCATAATCAGATCCAGCACCTTATCTGGATCTGATTGGATGGTTTTATCGTGGCATTTGACCTCTGCCCTAACCGTCTCTCCTATACTGCCCATCAGCAGTCTTAATCTTTCCTCTGGTGACATGCCTCTCGAGGCCCAGGCCGCTTTGACCTCTTCACTGAACCTGTTGGTTAAAGTTGGATCACCGTCCCCGTAAAATTTGTTAATGTGGGACTCTCTGGGTAGGACCACTATATGGGTCTGCTTCTCGTCCAGAGTCGACATTTTATTCCGTAAGTAACAAAAAAAGAGTTCTTTCTTACCGTGTGTGTATGAAAAATTTTTCTCGTTCCTCAATTTTCACAGTTCCTGAATGTCCGAATTCACACACACACTAAACACAGTTATGCACAAGGTTGACTATGGGTGCCTAAAGCGGCAAGTCTAGTTGAATTCATCCTGTCCGACGACGCCAATTGTAACGAGCGAACAGTTACCCTGCTCGCAACGCCACATGTTACGAGACTATTTGCCTGTAGTGCCAAATGTAACGAGTTTAACCACTCATGCTACACAACATCGACTACACAGCCGCCTTTAATTTCCCTAACGTGAGTTAGGTACCCACTAGAGTTGGGTTTCACTTACTTGAACCCGGATTCGAACTCGAGACTTGCGGTTAGCAATCCAGCTCTCTACCGCTAGACCACTCCGTCCCACAGCGTAGAGCTTATCCGTTAAAGACATCACGCATTTTATACTCAAGCCTTGATAGTCACGTGACGTCACGATAAGCCAGACACCTTCTACATCAAGTCAAGGTATCATCACGATAAGCCAGACACCTTCTACATCAAGGTATCGTAACAAGGTATCGTAACAAGGTATCGTAACAAGGTATCGTAACAAAGTTCTACTAGATTAGGACAGGTTGATAATAAGAAATAGTGTAAACAGTCAGTGGCGTAAATATATATATATATATATATATATATATATATATATATATATATATATATATATATATATATATATATATATACACTTCCATAAAGCACAACTCAAAAGCCAGATTGTAAACAGTAAACATCAGATTACACAACTCAAAAGCCAGATCCCAACACGTCACTTTGGATAGACAAGATAACACCCTACACATTACGTGTGCTTTATATCTTTTATATTTAGGTTTTGGTTATTTTCATAACAATGTCTTTTAATTCCTCAGTAAAAAGTATATTAGTAAACAGTAAACAGTACATTAGACAACAGACAAACACCTGATTTAAAATTATTAATTAAATACACTAGTTATATGTTGTTAGGAATTATTACATTTCCCGAATGATTGCCAGTTAATTCACATGTATGTTATTCACTCATACAGGTCGCTATGAGAAAAAGAAAACATTTGGTTGAAGTAACCTTAAAATAAATTGAGATAACATAGAATAACAAAAACATATCTGTACAATGCGCAGTAACAAAAAAGAACAGCCTAATTTTTAAAGTGAGATAATTTTGTTGAGGGATGAATTAAACATTACTTAACTAATAATGTAGTTTTGTAATTAGCGTAACATTGTTTAGAACTATAAACAAACAGCATGCACATATTTTATAAAGGAATTGTTACAAATGTCGATCATGCATATATTTCATAAAGCAATTACTATACATCTTGGCTACTGATAAAAACAGAACTATGTTTAACAAATATGAGTTTTCGCAGTTGCAAGAATAACTTTACAACATAATGGACATGTAGATATCTTATCAGCGCACTGGAAACACGCAATAAAATGGCCGCAAGGCATAAAAATACAATCCCGTTCAGATCTCTTACATTCCCTGCACACTATGTTTGTTCTGAGGATTGCTTGTTCCGCTTTCAATGCCTGCAGCATTAATCTATTCTTCTCGTGGGCGGGGTAGGTAGAGGTAGTGTCATCCAAACCGTCACACACGTCGTAATTTTTCGCATTATCCAAACTTTCAGAAGGATTTGAAGTCGACTCCGTTTGTAACAACTCTTTACTTTCAAAACAGTTGTCATATTCGGAAATTTCCATAGTAGTATTTTCGTCACTGAAACTACCGTGAGCGTTGTTGTTGGTATTTAGATCTAGTTCAAAATGTTGCAGAACTTCCAAAAGTAGAGATTGCACATTATTGCAAGAGGGTCTCCCAGCTTGTTCAGCATCTCGCACAAATTTTTCTATCTGATTTCTGTTTATATCAGTCATGAAAGCTACTGCTTCAACTTTACGGTCAACATAATGACTTTGTGTTTCATGCTCCATGCTGATTTCGTTCTCTCGGGGATTCTGGGGATAAAAAGATGCGTTCAATGTATGCACCTTACACATATAAACGCATATGTACCGTAGTATGGTATCGTTAGATTATGTCTACAGAAATAAACTTAGTATTAAAATCACAAACGTGAAGATTGTTTGATAACACTTAACAGCTTGACGTGTTATGTTCCATTACATATATATATATATATATATATATATATATATATATATATATATATATATATATATATATATATATATAGTGTGTGTGTGTGTGTGTGTATATATATCTTTAAATATATTTTCATTTATCATATATATTTATATATAATCTTTATTTACTATAGTTATTTATACGTATATAAATAAATAAATATATATATATATAAATATATATATATATATATATATATATATATATATATATATATATATATATATATATATATATATATATATATATATATAATAAAACTTATTCAAAATATATTCTGAAGTAAGCAAATAACTTAAGAATGGTCTTTTTATTTTAAGCTAAAAGTTAAATGATTACGTATCCACACATTCGCTTTTTTTAAAAATCACACACAGTTTAACGGGAAAAAAATGTTTTATAATTACCTGTGTTGAAAATTTCATTACAAACTTTGAGCCCAAAGCTGTGTCTTTCACTGACTAAAATGTCAGATGAATTATTGTGTCTTTAACTAATTTAAGTTCTAGCAAGTGTTTTATCACCTTTTAAAATGCATACAACTAAAATGTCAGTTCTTAATATGGTTTTGGTTTAGTAACAACATCGGGAATTTCCACAAAAATATGTCGCCAAAAATAGATCTAGATATAAATAGAAATAATTGGGTTTTTAAAGTCCTATAATAAAAACTTTGGTAATTATAAACTACACACCCTTTGACTTTATATACATTAAGACATTCTTTAAACAATGCATTTTAGAAGGTGATTTTTTGTTTTTCTTACCCGTTGAACCTAAACCAGTTCAAGATACATTCTTAATTTTTGTCAAATGGCACGTTTAAAATAGAGCGTTTTAATAGTAACGTGTAGATTAAACTAAGCTTTGAACAACATTCATCTGGAAAAAAAATTTACCACTATTTCAGTTTAGGTATGAGCGCATAGTTATATTTGAACACAAATATTACCGGGTTTTTTGTTTTGTTTTAAATTAGCCTATATTGTAAATATTATTATAATAAAATCATCATCTATCGCGTTAAACATTGAAAGAAACAGTATAGGATCTAAATATAACAATGTGCGTCTGCCTGTTGTTTAGGGCCCGTATATCTTTTTGTGTGCTTTAAAGAGCCTACATAATATAACTAAATGCGATTTGTAATACATACATATCCCAATGTGTATCTTATATAGGACACACATATAAATTTTATCTCTTGTAAGACCTTCATATCACTGTGTGTTTCCTATGGGACCTACATTTCATATTTTATTTTGTGTAAAATACTCAGCGGTTTTATAGATGGGCTTATATAACATTGTATTGCAAACATGTATTATTATTATTATTATTATTATTATTATTATTATTATTATTATTATTATTATTATTATTATTATTATTATTATTATTATTATTATTATTATTATTATTATTATTATTATTATTATTATTATTATTATTATTATTATTATTATTATTATTATTATTATTATTATTATTATTATTATTATTATTATTATTATTATAAATGGTATTTTTATCATTATTATTATAGCTACTATTATTATTAGTATTATTAGTATTATTAATATTAACCTATTATTATTATTATATTTTAATTATAATAATAATACTAATTATTATTATTATCTATATATATAATTCTCTTCTTCGAGCCGTTAGAAAACAAGCTGCAAGCGCGCTCCCTAACATCCCCACCCCTACATGATCTTAGTGAGCTGTGGTTCACGCTATGTTTACCTTCGTGGAGTTGGGTTTAGTGACGGCTATTAGGGGCAGATAATTTAGTTTGAAACGATTTTAAACGTAGGGGGGGGGGGGGAAGGGGGGGGGGGGGGTTATGGTCCTTAACGAGCTACTTATAGTGTTTTAAAGAAATATTTTCAGTGTCAGCGTTGGTACTGTCGAATTCACAAATTATGAATTACTGAAAAGTAGAAAAAACAACAACTAAATAGCGGCGTATGTTATGCCGCGGGCCGGCTCGTTATTATTATTATTATTATTATTATTATTATTATTATTATTATTATAAATGGTATTATTATCATTATTATTATAGCTACTATTATTATTAGTATTATTAGTATTATTAATATTAACCTATTATTATTATTATATTTTAATTATAATAATAATACTAATTATTATTATAATTATTATTATTATTATTATTATTATTATTATTATTATTATTATTATTATTATTATTATTATTATTATTATTATTATTATTATTATTATTATTATTATTTTTATTATTATTCGGTAATTGCAAAGCACATACAGAAGTAAGTAAGTTGTAACCTTATAAATGTTGAAAAGCATCTGATTTCACGTCAATTTGGGATAGATAATTGCCGTCCCGATCTCGAAGTTCGATTATCTAGACATATGATTAAAATTGAAATGACAAAGTGGTAAAAAAAAAAGCTGATTAGTTATAGGAATTTTTTTTTTTAACATCTAAAAAAATAGTGGCTTCAAAGTTAATTATAGTAACAACAACCACTAAGGAAATTTCCCAATATATAAGTGAGCGACTCTACTAGGTCAGCGGGAAATCCCGATTTTGATTAATGAATCTTCAGTTTTCTGGGATTCGGTGTGCGTGGAATTTTAATATTTAACTTTCAGAATTAAATTCTACTTCAGCTACATCTATAAACAATTTTAGAGAAAGTTGAGCTACCCAGAGAGACAAAAATAATGTACATTTCACTGCTTATTTCCCTTTGCTTGGTTGAACTCAAGTTACTCCATATTATTAGTACATGTGTTATATGAATGTATTGGTTTTATTCACGTCACGATGTTTTTGTGTTTGTAAAACATTCTGCTGAGTAGATGAAATATTTATTTCGTTTGTTACTTTAACTTTTAGGAGACTGAAGCTGATACTCATCTATTTCATTCACAACCTAAGTTATGACCTTCGATGAGGTGGAGCGATCTTAAGTTTAATTAGACGACGGAGTCTGAAAACTCTAACGCTACACGTACAAGTTCAACAAAATCTCGCAATACACTACAGAGGCGGCTACATCACAGGGTTGGCAATCAACAATATATATATATATATATATATATATATATATATATATATATATATATATATATATATATATATATATATATATATATATATATATATATATATCCTAATATAAGCTCATGTGCGGCGTGCGCACTTTTGTCTCACTCTCTCTCTCTGTCCGCAAAATATTTTCACATGCTATGATATCAGTATCTTCAGCGATATATGGAGAACTTGACATGGACTTTTGTTGAAAATAATATGTTAGATGTTTTAAATGTATAAATTAAATTTTATTTAAAGAAGGAACATCAACATAGAAACCTTAGGCAACACTAATACAAACATCTTAGGGTCGAAATTAAACACATACACTTTAGGATCAGCAACATCAACATACAAACCTTAAGCAATAACACTAATACATACATCTTAGGGTCGACAATAAGCACATATACTTTAGGGTCACAATATAAACATACAAACCTAAGGCACGGCAACTTCAACGTATACTTCTTTAGGTCAGCTACATCAGCCTTATATAAATATAACAGCAAAGTGTTCACAATACGGTTGGCAATATCAATGTATACACATTAAGATCAGCAACATAAATGTATAGATATTAAGGTCAGCAACATCAATGTGTAGAAATTAAGGTCGGCAACATCTTAGTGTGAGCCACAACTACCACTAGAACCGACAAGCAACCATCTTAAATTAACGAAATATGGAAAAAGTTCAGTTTGAATGGATAACGTTTACAGAAAAACTATAAATAAAACATCTATGTATAGAACACCAACAATAGAGAATTATAGGAAACATTTTTAATAATACCTTGTAATAAAGACAAGTTTAAACGTATATTCACCTCAAAACTATTTGACATTATTTATAAAGTGTAAACAATTCAGCCAACATTAAATATAAAAAACATTTAAATTGTTCATTTTGTAAAACAATTAGTATATAATCTTATATTTGTATTCATGTAAAAATACAATTTCCTCTATCATTTTTTTACATGAGTAACCCAAAAAAAACGTTGCGAGGGAGTCTGTCGCAGATTATCAGAGATTTTTTTTCATTCCATATAAACCTATAAGGTGAAATTTTACGGCGACTTATTCTGTTCCGGGACTTTAAGCGAATACTCAACGGCCCCTTCACTAGATTTAGGGTCTACTGGAGAGGACTTTCTACTGGCTGGTGTTACAATGGGAGATTCTAAATCCTGCAGCAGAAGAGATTTTTGTTTTGATTTTGAAGCAGCCGAAGAAGATTTTTTATCGTCTATTTTTTCTTTAGGAAGAGATTCCAAATCTACATCAGAGGAGGATTTCAGGTGGGAATTGGAGAAAGTGTTAAAATCCATCTCTGAAGACACTTGTCTTTGATCAGCGGAGGATAACTTTAAGTTGATGGAGGACATCGACTTTGGGCTTAGTTTTGGTAACGGCAGACTTGTCGAAGATACAAGTTTCCGTTCTTTGACTGATGTGTCTGAGGACTCCAGATATACCGAAGATTTTGGCTCCTTCTTGAGTTGACTTTGAGACATTGACTTTGTTTCCGCAAAAGGTAAACTGCCAGGGGAGGTTACTAAGCTCTGAGATAAAGTTTCAGTTTTGTCGATTACACTCGAAGATTTTAGTTTCTCGGATACTGTTGTCAAGCTTTGTTTCATCGAAGACGTTGATTTAGAATTTAAAGCAGATTTTGATTTTGATTGTTTTTTTGATTTTGTTTTTGATGGGGTTTTAACTTTAGCAGAGGGCTTGCTTTCAACTTTGAATGGGGAGGGCTTATACTGTCTAGGTACTCTATAGCTGGGCTTCAGGGCTTTGACACTGCAGCAAACGTTTTGTTTAGTTTTCTGCAGGCAGTTCCGTCGTCTCAGGTGTTCTATCATAAAGGTGAGCGGGTCAGCAGGTAAACACATCACCACTCGGTTCATTAACTCCTACAGAAAGAAAACTCACACTTAGCATCGAACAAAATCAAAGCATGCTATTCTTGTAGGAACACTCACACTTAACATCCAACAAAATCAAAGCATGCTATTCTTGTAGGAACACTCACACTTAACATCCAACAAAATCAAAGCATGCTAGTCTTGTAGAAACACTCACACTTAGCATCGAACAAAATCAAAGCATGCTATTCTTGTAGGAACACTCACACTTAACATCCAACAAAATCAAAGCATGCTAGTCTTGTAGAAACACTCACACTTAGCATCGAACAAAATCAAAGCATGCTATTCTTGTAGGAACAAATAACAAGTATCTAGACAGCAGGTGACCGAGTGTTCTAGTGGTAGAGAGCTATGCTGCTTCCCCGAAAGTCACGTGTTCGAATCCGGGTTTAAGTCAGTAGAAGGTCCCTGAGTCCACCCACTTCTGGGCACCCAACTCATGTTAAGGAAAAGCAAAGGCATAGTGCTGACCACACTGTCCGTTCACGAGGTCCCTGAAACAGATGAACTCTACTTCATCTGCCCGATGTGTCTTGGGCACGAACAGGAAAAGGAAGGTGGCCCAGCAGTGGAAAGTGCGGTGACTGACCAAACCACGTGTACACACGCGTCAAAATTAGCAATGTGAAGCACCGCGTGACATAAAAAAAAATTCCTAATGGTCAAAACTGGCCATTACTGTGTTGGCAACAAGGACAATCTTTCGAATGTACTCACTGGTTTTTACCTCAGGGCTCGTGCCGGTTATACCCGTAAAATCTAGTAACTAAACGGTGGAGATACATGGTTTAATGAAATACAATATTGGGCTGTTTAGTGTCTTCAAATGACATTTTTTAAATACATTTACATACCTCATAAATATTGTTTTAATTTTTTTTTATAATAACACAAATGGGGGTTGTTATGCATGAAAACTTAACTGCTTAGGCTCTTAATATTTGATTGTGTGTTTGCAAGCTTAAAAACAAATGGTCGAATGAGCGTGAACTGAATCAACCAATCAGCGTCATCCTGGTTCACTACTGGCGCTGACTAAATCTGCGACAACTGAATCAACCAATCAGCGTCATCCTGGTTCACTACTGGCGCTGACTAAATCTGCGACAACTGAATCAACCAATCAGCGTCATCCTGGTTCACTACTGGCGCTGACTAAATCTGCGACAACTGAATCAACCAATCAGCTTCATCCTAGCTTCACTACTGGCGCTGACTAAATCTGCGACAACTGAATCAACCAATCAGCGTCATCCTGGTTCACTACTGGCGCTGACTAAATCTGCGACAACTGAATCAACCAATCAGCTTCATCCTAGCTTCACTACTGGCGCTGACTAAATCTGCGACAACTGAATCAACCAATCAGCGTCATCCTAGCTTCACTACTGGCGCTGACTAAATCTGCGACACAAAGCGGAAAGCTCACACCATAACAAAATACAAGCTTGTTACTAGAGGACTAGCGGCTCACCTCAAAGATGGACAAAATGTTCCTCTTTTCAAGATAGTCCACAGCGGCTTCTTCCGGTTGGTGAATTGGCGGGAGCACAACTTTGGACTGGGAACTTGCTAGAAATGGGCCGTCAACCGGTGACTCTATCCTCGCCGGGGACGGAGAGCTGGCTAGCAGCTTCGACTTCAAGCTCCATGGGTGATCGATTGACTTTTTTTTCTGTAGCTCTTCAACCTGGGATTTCCGAGCTGAGGCCCAAGGTAGGCCTACGGCTTGCTTGCCACCGAGGTACTCGTCTGAGTCGCCCGTAGCGTTGAACGACGGTAGTCTAACAGTGCTTGGTAATGCCGACTCAATAAAGTCTGCAACGTTTTTTCGGATAGTGGTTGACTTGTTCAGAAGGTACTGGGGGAAAAAAAAGCGGGAGTGATCTACCATAGATTTTCACGAATATTCTTATGTAACACTACGAGGGATGGCAACTTGGGGTATCACACAGTGTTTTTTCCAGACTTTTTTCTCTGGGGGGGGGGGGGGGGGGCACTTGAAATTTTCGGGGGGGGGGGGGGGTAGACTTTCTTCGGGGGGGGGGGGCGACTGTTAAAAGTATATATTTTTTATATAAATTTCATTTCATTGGGGGGGGGGGCTGAAAGAAACTCTGCGGGGTATTGACTTGATTTTTAATCCATTTTTAATTACTTAAACTTTTAAAAATAGAATAGAATCTTGTAAATAAAAAGAATTGTAAACAGCAAACAATGAATTTATAACAGTGCGGAATATTAGTTATTTATAAATTCATATACTTTTTTGAGAAATTGTAAATAGCAAAAAGTACTACTTCATGGTAAACAGAAATTACTCAAAATTCGACAGAACGCAGATCTTTTACTTATATGTGAAATTTCTTCTATCTATCTGAAACAGTACTCAAGGTATAGGCTATTGAAAAACCAAAAGTAGAATAAACTCCACTTCCGTTGTCGGAAATTGCTGAAAATGTGAGACAGAACTACAAATTTGATATAACACTTATGTATGAAATTTCATCAACCTAGCTGTAACGGTACTCAAGGTATTGTGTCCACAGACACACATCCACACAAACAGACAGACACACGCACACATACATACGGACCAAATTGCAAAACTTTTTTTTTTCGACTGGTGTAAAAAAAAATTGACAAAACCAAGGGTTTGTTAAATAAAAACGAATTGACACTATATCTGATGACTAACCTTTAGCATGTCCTCACTATGCTGAATCTCAGGGGGTAGGGAAATCCTTTCCTCGACAATTGGGCCCTCTAATTTAAGGGACCTTAGTTGTTCGAACGCCTCGTCGGATAGGGCAGCTGTAGCAGATCCTATTTCCTCCGTGCTTGCTGCAATGTCCACGCCGAGTGGTCTCCCTTTGCTCCTCTTGATTGTTGACAACAGCAACATGTTCACGAGTGTGTACGTCATGCTACTGACTTTCCCGCCCTCGGGGACCTTGATCTTTATTGACAAGTCTTCCAACATTTGTGTCATCGAGCTCGATAACGCCGGTAAATGTTTATCGTCTTCTTTGTCGTCTTCTTGAGATGAATCTGCAAAGGTACATCAATAACAGGAGTTGTTATTTAAATGGATCTAAAACTAAATTAATATCTGGCTTTAAAAATCTGGCTGGGTTATGCTTCAGCTGTAGGGCTGGTAAGTAGATCATCAACCAGTTCTACGGCTCAATAAAACCTGCATGAGCCATAGAACTGTTTGTTGACCTACTTACCAGCCCTATTGTGATGAAAAGCTCGTGTGAAATAAATTGTCTATGTCTTACTGATAATTACTCGTGCCTTTTGGATTGCTTGTCTATCGGAATGTTCTTTTAAAACGACTGTGCTTTAAAGATTGCTATTGTCTTTCATATGTCGTATTTCTTTTGAAATGTTGTAATTTGGAATCCAAGGCAGGAATGTAAAAATGTAACTGTTTCAATGTAAGTGTTACAAGTCTACTACTATTCCTCCTGCCGCCATGTAACTATTCTAAAGACGTTTCTTCAAACATTAAACGACAGCTTTCGTGTTTTACAACGATACCTTTTGCTGCCTTTTGTTACTGTTTCACACCTTTTTGATACCATTTGATACCCATTAGTTTATAAAAATGGTGTTTGTATTCCTAATTAATTAATAATTTTTTCAAAAAGTGTATAATTAATAATGAATTAATAATTAATATTCAAAAAGTACTCACTTTTGGAGGTCTCTGGAGATTCTGAAGACACACTTGGCCTATCAGAAATCGTATTTGACTGCTCTGGTCGATTAGCGCTCCTATTTTCTTGCTGTGGCCGATTAGAACTGATATTTTCCTGTGTGGACATCTCATCAACCACCTCTTCTTTGTTCTCATTTATTTCCTCCACTTTATTAGCCATCAGACTTTGACCCTGCTTGATAGAGCACTCACTGCCTACTTTAGAACTCTTACTCTCCTTCTTTTTCTGCCTGACCTGACCTTTCGACCTTTTCTTCTTCTCCTTGCGTCTCTCCGTCGGGTCCTTGGTGCTTCTGATCAGCTCACAGATCCCAGCAATCATATGGGGAAACTTTTCCAGCGTCTCGTGCAGAATTTCCGTGATCCGGTCAATGACCATCGTGTTGGACAATTTCTCATCTTGAATGGCCATCGCAACGGCTTGGACATTCTCTAGACTCTATATGCATCATACAAACATATATATATATATATATATATATATATATATATATATATATATATATATATATATATATATATATATATATATATATATACGGTTCCATGACAAATGATCTCAGGACAAATGATCTCAGACAAAATATCTCAGACAAAATATCTCACGGACAAATGATCTCAGGACAAATGATCTCAGGACAAATGATCTCAAGGACAAATAATCTCACGGACAAAACATATCAGGACAAATGATACCATGGACAAATGATCTCAGACAAAATATCTCAGAGAAAATATCTCACAGCGGAATTTTAATAGTATGTACGAAGACCCTAGATGATTTGAACTTTTTTATTGAATGCTAATATGGTTTTGTTTACTATTTTACGCTTAATAATTGTGAATAAAATGAATTTGTTAAACCTAACAAACCATCAAAAGTTTTATTAAACTTTGTAGTAGCATTTGATTTGAAAAAGTAAAAATTATAACAAATTTACTCCTTTAGCCTCAAAGGTATAATAAATGATAATGTATAAAACAAATAAAGTTACGGTAATTATACAACATTAAGGTTCAAAACACGCGAAATATTTTTTAAAAATGTGAATGGGTCTTCAGGTTTGTAATGTTAAACTATTGTTTTTATTGCATCATCAACACAAACATAATGTTTACGTTTCTTTGCTGGCAGGTAGCCTACATCAATATGATCACACCTCTCCAATATTACGTGATCATCTATTGTGTTAACTCTTACTCGACATGTCCTAATTTCACATTTCCAAATCTCTTTGCCTGCTTATGGCAAACATAAATTCACCAGAATTCCTAAAACCTTTCTGCGAGGTAACGAAAGAGGCGCTAGCTGAGTAATCACCACTAATACTGCTTTGTTTGATGCACCCTACGACAAACTTAGCTCCGCGATGACCGCTGTTTGTTTAAATAAGCATTTGTCACTGATCACTAAGGTGTGACCGACGCATAACAATGGACTTTAGAGGCTAGTTGTGTTGTCCATAGAGGGTGGATGTCTTTCCTTTAAGCCCTTAAGGCATAACTCTTCTATCAAAGGGGAGGCCACCCTGATACGAAGGTGTGTCTTTATTGTTATTTCATTCCCTTTGATCTAGTTTCGTCCACCTGACATGGTAGGATTGTCTAATGTTTGTCAAGCCCACCTACGCTGTCTATCGAAAAAAAATCTTTAATCTTCGTATACTATATTACAAATACTAACTTTAAAATATTTACTGCAATATGACAAATGTATACGGCAAACATTTCTTACACTTATTATATAGGCCTATAAACAATATTTTAAACATAGTAAACAAAACCATATAACAATCAATAAAAAAAATTCAGATCAACTAAAATCATCAACTACACTATTACAATTTAGGTGTGAGATATTTTGTCTTGAGATATTTTGTCCGAGATCAATTGTCCGTGGTATCATTTGTCCTGATATATTTTGTCCTGGTATCTTTTGTCCGTGAGATCATTTGTCCGTGAGATCATTTGTCCTGAGATCATTTGTCCGTGAGATATTTTGTCTGAGATATTTTGTCTGGGATCATTTGTCCTGAGATCATTTGTCCTGTCACCATATATACATATATATGTATATGTATATATATATATATATATATATATATATATATATATATATATATATATATATATATATATATATATATATATATAAAAACATATATATATATAATATATACGTATATATATATATATATATTCATATATATATATATATATATATATATATATATATATATATATATATATATATATATATATATATATATATATAAACATATATATATATAATATATACGTATATATATATATATATATTCATATATATATATATATATATATATATATATATATATATATATATATATATATATATATATATGTATACCTATATAAATAAAGATATATACAAATCATTCAGATTTAGAAGATATCCACCCTTGTTCACTCAAATAGTCAAACACCGTTGTTGCATAAAGCTAAACCCCCACCCGCTTCTATAGACCTCCCCCCCCCCTCCTTTTTCAGAAACAACTGTAGTTCTGAAATACTATTCTTTTGTCTTACGGTTTCATACATAAAATATAAAAAGCGTTTTGTAATCGTCCGTCCTTCCCTACGTCCGTCCGTACTGTGGGTTCTATTTCTCACAAACTTTCAGAATGTGATCATAACAAGCTTTACTTAACGTTATTTCGTTGTGTATCGTCTGTCAAGGGCGGAAAGTTGCGATACAAAATTCGACCAATTCTGCTAGATCGATTTCTTTAAAAATGTTCAAGTAGGGTCAAGACTCGATGACAATGCAAAGTGACACAATATATGTGTGTGTGTGGGGGGGGGGGGGGGGGGTTGGCCTGCCCTCCTGTGTGGAAGAAGTTTTACCTAACCTCCTGTGGGGGAGGAGTTTGACCTTACCACCTGTGTAGAAGGACTTTGACCTTACCTCCTGTGTGGGAGGAGTTTGACCTTACCACCTGTGGGGGAGGAGTTTGACCTTACCTCCTCTGGGGGAGGAGTTTGACCTTACCTCCTGTCGGGGAGGAGTTTGACCTTACCTGCTGTGTGGGAGGAGTTTGACCTTACCTCCTGTGGGGGAGGAGTTTGACCTTACCTGCTGTGTGGGAGGAGTTTGACCTTACCTCATGTGTGGGAGGAGTTTGACCTTACCTCATGTGTGGGAGGAGTTTGACCTTACCTGCTGTGTGGGAGGAGTTTGACCTTGCCTGCTGTGTGGGAGGAGTTTGACCTTACCTGCTGTGTGGGAGGAGTTTGACCTTACCTCATGTGTGGGAGGAGTTTGACCTTACCTCCTGTGTGTACGTCTCAAGAAAGACGACAACGCCGGCCATAAAGTTGGGATCATCTCTAGTGATATCTAAGGGTGCTGTTGATATACTCTGCAGACGATCGCGCATTACCTGCGATGATTTGTTCTCTAAAACATTTATACAAAATGCATAAATTTGGTTAGTTAAATAACAAATAAGAAAATAATTAAGTAAATGTTAAATATGTTTTATAAAGACTTGACCACACAACTTATTTTTAGTAATTATACGAATATTGCCAGGGTCTGTCTAGAATTTTATTCTATATTTCCAGTCTCTACAGCATATAGAAAACCCTAACTCTGGTATACATCATAGCCTCATCATCCACATAGCCTATCTTTACCCAAATACTAGCCACCCCCATAGCCTAACTGTACCCAATACTAGTCATCCCCATAGCCTAACTTTACCAAAATACTAGCCATCCCCATAGCCTAACTTTACCCAAACACTAGCCATCCCCATAGCCTAACTTTACCCAAATACTAGTCATCCACATAGCCAAACTTTACCCAAATACTAGTCATCCCCATAGCCTAACTTTACTCAAATACTAGTCATCCCCATAGCCTAACTTTACCCAAATACTAGTCATCCCCATAGCCTAACTTTACCCAATACTAGTCATCCCCATAGCCTAACTGTCCCAAAATATTGATCCTAACTATAGTCTCGCTTTAACCTAACCATGCCCATTACCTTTTTAATTGCATTAGCCATGATCCTAACCCTGACTCACTCCCTAACTCTATTCTTACTAACGTCATCCCATCCCCACCAACATATGTACACACACCAGCACTGCGAGTACACGCTAAACGCCTGAGCGTGCTTGTATACACCAACACAGTGTGTACACACTGACGCGTGCTTGTACACATACCAACACTGCTTGAACTGCTTGTACACACGCCAGCGTGGTATGTACACACCAGCGTGGTGAGTACACACCAGCACTGTGAGTACACACCAGCGCGTACTTGCATGACATAATAACTTCCTGCATCAACCTACGTAGTTTCCGCTTGGACCGTTTGGTGCTGAGCTGTATCCTTATCTCATCCTCTGACGGCGACAGCAGAATCTGGCACTCGGCGTCCTGATGCTTGGGGAACACCTGCAGCGGTTGATCGAACGACTCGACCTGGGTCAGACTGAACTCTTGGATGTCAGGCTCTGGGGAAAACTTCACCGAGGGCTTCACGCTGACCATGTTTACTTGGAAATTTGTTAAGCGCGATGTACTAAAACAAGCTATTTGAAATTATCAAAACATTGAATATTTATATAAAACGTTTACAAAAAAATGTACTAAATTATACGCTAACATAGACTATAGTTATATTGGAAAGGAAATGCGTCACGTTTTTATTAGCACTAAACGGAAGTAAGCTAAAATTTGATATTTCCGATAAAGTATGAAAAGTTACGTTTTTAAAAAAATGTGAAGTGTGACTAAAATGATCAATGGCATGAAATGGGTTAGGCTAACGATGGGCTTTTTATATTTTTAGAACTCTGGCATTAAACATGTTCGATAACTATAGTCTCTTTCAGACCCACTTTGCTACAAGTACAAGGTAGCCTGTATTTTGCTACCAATATTTTAGGAAATTAAAACAAAAAATCTTTTTTCTAGTCGTCTCCCCTTAGTTACAAAAAAAAGAGACAAAGAAATAAGGAAAATCCGATAATGCGCTTTGAGATGTTTTGATACAGCACAGAGAAGCGCTGTGTATTATCAAAACATATTGATATAAAAACAAGACTTTCTCTATACTTCGTATATACGAGAAAGTAAATATATCAAAACATAAAATAATGGTTGAATATGGAAACTTGAACTTGTCAGCATAAACATCTACAACAAGCAACACTAGCCCTCGTGTGACTGGCTTGACCTGTGACCTGTGACCTGTGACACTGACAGACAGCTTTCATTTGAGTCGTTGCTTATGGGATGTATTTTTTAAATGTATACGTCTGTATATTTTAGCTGTCTCTATTGTTTTGCTGTTCTTAATATCCTGTTTAGTGTTTCTTTCAGACTTTTTTTTCCTCCAGTGGGGGAGAAGAGGGTGGGGGGCACTTGACCCATTGGGGGGGGGGGGCTAAGTCCTACTGTCTGTATTCTCCTGTTTTCTGTATTGTCCTACTATCTGTATTGTCCTACTATCTGTATTGTCCTACTATCTGTATTGTCCTACTATATGTATTGTCCTACTATCTGTATTGTCCTGTTGTCTGTATAGTCCTACTATCTGTATTGTCCTGTTGTCTGTATAGTCCTACTATCTGTATTGTCCTGTTGTCTGTATAGTCCTACTATCTGTATTGTCCTGTTGTCTGTATAGTCCTACTATCTGTATTGTCCTGTTGTCTGTATAGTCCTACTATCTGTATTGTCCTACTATATGTATTGTCCTACTATCTGTATTGTCCAGTTCTCTGTATAGAACTACTGTCTGTATAGTCCTACTGTCTGTATTGTCCTACTGTCTGTATTGTCCTATTGTCTGTAAAGTCTACCACCCCTCTACCCCCCGAACGAAATGGAATTCTTATAGAAAATATTATTATTTACCAGTGTCCGCCCGCCCCCCGGAAAATGTTGACAGCCTCCCCCCACCCCCCCCCCCCTTGAAAATATCAAGTGTCTCCCCCCCCCCCCCTCGGAGAAAAACAGTCTGGAAGAAACACAGGTCTTTGTTGCCCTCTTCTCTGTATAGTCCTAACTCAACTTTGACCTACTGTACTGTTGACCAATAGCTCGAGTGTTTTACCCACAGTTTTCAAATCTTTAAATCTTCAGCCCAACAAAAGTTGTGCTAACCTATCAGAACATCTAAATATAGAACCACAGTATCGTGGTGCAACAGCTAGATTAAGTCATGACGGCTGTGGGTTGTGACGTCAATTGATAATCCGATCAGATACCACGGTGTTTTCTACGTCATTTTGATTGTATGGATATAACATGTTTTTTAATCCCAGCGAGTTTATACATACAAGTTTCTAAAGAAACAATTCATATAAATGGCGATAAAATGTTATATTCCATTACAACGATTTCTTCGTTTGTTTACCTTATTGTTATGTTTATTTTTAGGGTTATTCATATAAAAATTATTTTTAAATTTAATCTTACTTCAAACAAAAATTGAGTTAAATACCAATATAAAACACAGTTATGAACGTCATTATACTCGAATAATGTGCTGTTTTGATTCACTGCTTGTTGTGTGGGGATAAAGTATGAGAAAATCAATAGCGAAAATGTAGATCTATATTTGCTATTTGCTTTCTGTTATTTCTAACTTGAAACTTGCATACACCGAAAAAAACCATCACCATTGCTTGCATTAGACATATACATTACAAATAATATTAAGTGTTATATATTTGAATCACAATAAATAATAAATCTGTGAAATAAATATTGTTGCCATAACACCGAAATTTCTCAACGTTACAGTTTTACAGGGTACGTTTGTAACAGATATAGATTACTGCTGTCATCTGAGTAAAATAGAAATAAAATGTGTTGGTTCAAATACACTCCTAGTGTCTGGACTGTATATGTTCACTTATGAGGCATTAATATTACAAAAAGTAATTACTTGTGTTTATGTCTATATGCATATAGAGAGGGGTAATCCTAGAGAGACAATGCCTAGAGAGACAATGCCTAGAGAGACAATGCCTAGAAAGACAATGCCTAGAGATGAATGTCTAGAGATGTAAAATGTGTGCCATTTTGTTTTGTAGGCATGGGCGCTGGTGTGGCTGATCATTCAGATTCTGGAGTGCCGATCTCTACGGCAATGGGACAGCGTGGCCTAGAGGCAGAGCGCTAAATTGCAAAAGTATCGAGTTCGAATTCAGGTTAGCGTCAGTAGAACGTTCCTGTTAGCGAAAGTAAATTGCTGACCCCACTATCCCTTCATATGCCGAGGTCACAGAAACAGGTAAACTCTACTTCACGTGCCCCATGGACCATCAGCTTCGAAAAGTTAACTTTACTTTTTAAAAATCTGTGCCGCAGTTAGTTCAGATCATGTTTGTGGTTGCAGCCCTTTGCTCCCCAAGGGCCACAAAATAATTATGAGGATGATGATGTTTTGTCTCAGCTGATTCTACCCTTCCTCTCCTCTCTGAGACCACCTCGCCTTGTTAACTTCAGCGATGGAAGTGCCAGTTTGTCGACCGGTCACCACAATGTACTGTCTTGGGCAACTGCTTCAATAGATGTCCACTCATGTCGGTCACCACAATGTAGTGTCTTGGGCAACTGCTCCAACAGATGTCCACTCATGTCGGTCACCACAATGTAGTGTCTTGGGCAACTGCTTCAACAGATGTCCACTCATGTCGGTCACCACAATGTAGTGTCTTGGGCAACTGCTCCAACAGATGTCCACTCATGTCGGTCACCACAATGTAGTGTCTTGGGCAACTGCTCCAACAGATGTCCACTCATGTCGGTCACCACAATGTAGTGTCTTGGGCAACTGCTCCAACAGATGTCCACTCATGTCGGTCACCACAATGTACTGTCTTGGGCAACTGCTCCAACAGATGTCCACTCATGTCGGTCACCACAATGTAGTGTCTTGGGCAACTGCTCCAACAGATGTCCACTCATGTCGGTCACCACAATGTAGTGTCTTGGGCAACTGCTCCAACAGATGTCCACTCATGTCGGTCACCACAATGTACTGTCTTGGGCAACTGCTCCAACAGATGTCCACTCATGTCGGTCACCACAATGTACTGTCTTGGGCAACTGCTCCAACAGATGTCCACTCATGTCGGTCACCACAATGTACTGTCTTGGGCAACTGCTCCCACAGATGTCCACTCATGTCGGTCACCACAATGTACTGTCTTGGGCAACTGCTCCCACAGATGTCCACTCATGTCCATTGACCTCAGGTCCCGTCTGCGGACAACTCTGTAAAACACAACACGACGTCCCTTGTGTACCATTGTAAAGACACCAATAGAGGAAATCCTTTGAGTTTCGGCCATCAAATATATACAGTAGACCAAACCAACACACAGGGGCGTAGCGAGGGGGGGGGCGGGGGGTGCGGACCGCACCGGGTGACACCATTTAGGGGGGTGACACCAAGGCAAAAAATAGCAAAATATATAGAGAAAAACTCGAGGGGGGGGGTGCTAATCGAAAGTTTGAGGGGGGGGGGGTGCAAATCAAAAGTTTGAGGGGGGGGGGTGCAAATCGAAAATTTGAAAGTTTGTCCCTGGGAAGGGTCTCTATGCCTCTGGGGGGGTGACACCATTAAGTGCCGCACCGGGTGACACCCGACCTCGCTACGCCACTGCCAACACAGTCATGTTTACGTGTACTTCGTCGGGGAAAAAAGACTGATAAGTACACAGCTTAGAACAGCGTATCTCTCGTTGTAACATCTAGATCTACTTCATGGCCTGGGTGTATGGGCAAACCGGGTCCATTTTAAACAATGTTTGAGATTCCCTGACCTAATTCGTGCATTTTTCACAAGCATTTCACCGACTGTTACCATTTACATGTACTTGAATTTAAACAATAAACTTAACTTTGACGTTAAGCCTTATTGAAGGCACGAAAAAACACGTTTACAGTTACTTTATTTAAAAAAGCTAATTAAACATCGTATAAAGCCAAGGCTATTATTTTCAGCAGTAGTTTAAAGCGGTCGGTTTAAACTAACGTTAGCAGTACCACCAGAGTTTCTTACCCCCCACCGAAGAAAGTCTACCGCCCTCCCCCCCCCCCCTCGGACGAAATGGAATTTATATAGAAAATATATATTTTTGTCAGTGTCCAGATAAATTGTTTTCCACCCCCCCCCCCCCAAATTTTTTTTTCAAGTGCCCCCCACCCACTCCCCGGAGAAAATAGTCTGGAAGAAACACTGAGTACCACTTTAAGAATTAGTGTACACCGTGAAGATGACTTACAAATAAAAACTTCAAACTAACTTCAATACTCCATGTCGACGTATAGAATAGCTATGCACTAGCTTATAAAAAAAAAACCGGATAATTCTCGAACAACTACCGTAGAACTTTTTGATTCCTACAACTACTCAAGAAATATGCCAACTTGCAACATTTTGATAAAGACTACCTTACGATAAAGGCTTGCTACAGTGCTGATATTTTGTATTAATTGTTGAATTGATTAAAAAAAATACTGTAGTCTACTTCTTGTTCTTACGTCAGATTTGTCCTTTATCTCAAATATCTTTTTCTGCGCAACAATCTTACATAAGTCTGCACAAATTTGAACAGTGGCGATAAGATTGACAAATGTTTCAAGAAAGACCAG